GCATGCCAGATACCTTACAAAGTACTTATACATTGGCACTATTTTCAGTGAAGTATGATGAATTATGAGAAAGCCTAAAGGTTTCTTTTTTCATGAGCTAATTATTTTTAATCTGATTATCCTGTATGACGATTTATACCTAAATGTAAGAATCTATGCTTATTTCTAAATATTGGTTACACCTGAGGACCTCTTCTGTTTATTTGAACTTCTCTGTGGCTCAGAACATAGTTGGTATTTAGAAGCCATCTGCATTGTGTGTGTCTTCACTTATGTGTGCAGATCTTCTTGTGACTCTCCTAGGAATGCAGCAAAGTATAAGATAGAGCAATGAAGGGCAAAGCTTTCGGTTACACAGACTTATATTTAATTCCTGTTCCTACCCTTTCAGAGCTCTATGGCCTTGGCCATGTTGTTTATCCACTCTGTACTCCCATGTCCTCATGTGTGATAGAGGGTTGATGATAATGGTTTTCTTCGAGGAGGTTGGTAGGACTTGTGAGATGTTTGTTACATAAATGGCAAGTCACCAGACATACTATATAGTTGCTTAGTAAGTGATAGCTAAATTAAAGGAAGTATGTATTTAGTGTCATGGTTTGTAGTAGTTGTTCTCAGTTTGTTTTGTTACTTTGAGAAAATATATCTCCATATAAAATTAAATAATTTGGAAAATATATTTGTAAATGTTATAAGTATAGTTAGCTGTGAGTTATAGATAAGTTATGGATTCATGTTGCTTTAAACTTTCTCAAAACAATCACATTCCCTGTTTAGTTTTACTGATTGCACTATTTTTTCTGTTTTCACTGGGGAAAACTATATAAACCAACTCTCTCCAACTACATCACAGTAGTTGTGGGGCATTTAAAGTGGAGAAAGAGAAGTCAGCTCTGCTTCCATGTGGAGTAGCACTATTCATCAAAGAAAAATTCGGTGAGTAGGGAAATCTCGGTTTGGCATCTTGGTCACCCTTAGAGAAACCCTGCAGATAGAGAAAGCATTTCTGTCTTGTTGACCAAAAATGAATGGCAGAGAGACAGACTTTCAGTAAACAAAAGCGTTTATTCAGGAATAGCAAGGGATTGCAATTTGGAATATGCCTGGTATGGTAGACTGAAAGTACAGACAAGGGGGTAGGACAAAGGGAAGCTTTTAAAGGCAAAAGGAGAAGTCATTATAAGCCATTTTGAAATGAGGCTCATTAGTTACAAGGGACTTGTCCCAGGTAGTGACACTTGTTCTTTGGTGGTACTGACTGTTGCTTGTTCTTTGGTGGTATTGACTGTTGCTTGAAGAGGATCTTAATAGAAGTGACTTAACTGGAAAGTTCTGGTTAGGAAAGTCCTTTATGGCATTCCTGTTGCAGCATGCCCTCAAGAAGGCCCTTCTTTCATGGTCTCCCAGCTTCATTATTAGTTTGACAAGAGTGATTCCATGTTAGTACTGACAGCTTTCATAGTCCCTGTTTTATAAATGGGGGGAAATCAAGTTTGAGTGAAGATGAGCAGCTTGCCTAACACATTTAATAACTAGTAACTGGGGCCAACATTCTAATAGATCTTCTGATTCCAAATACAGTATATTTTCCCAGGTGCCTTCACCTTTGTTTTTACCTTCCCTGCATCAACTCTTCAGAGTATGCTTCAGTACTTTGGTTTTAAAGCATAAACTTCTTATTTTAAATGTAGGAAGACATTAAAACTCAGGATTTTTTAAACTTTTCACTTTTTTTTCCCCTGCCATATAACTACCCTTCTCTGATAGAATAAACATTGGATAAGGAATATTATTACAGACTAGTTTTTCATGTTCAACAAAAATGTACTATAAAGAGAAAAACTGAATTCTTATTCTGTCAGATCTGTGCTTTTTTTATTTGTAAACCAACATATAATCCTTTTACCTACTCTAAATTGGGCTTAGTTATTCAAAAAAGGATTTGATAGTTAGCATATGTAATTGCAAGTTAGAGATGTTCTTTGTTATTCAACTTTTTGTTGCTGTGTTGCAAATACCATAAACAACTTAACTTAATGGATGAAAAGTTTATTTTGATTCACAGTTTTAGAGGTTTCAATCAAGGGTCAGTCAGCTCTGGCCTGAGGCGAAATAGAATATGAAGGCAGAAGGATGCAGCAGGGGAAAGCTGTTCAGCCTCTGGAAGCTGGGAAGCAGAGAGAGGACAGGAAGTGGCCTGGGACATGATCAGCCTTTCTAGGTCACACCCCTCAGTGTCCAACATTCTCCAAATAATACCACCTCCCATTCGTACATGCAGCCATCCATGGATGAATCCACTGAGAGGTCAGAGTCCTCGTGATCCAAGTACTTCCCCAAATTCCTACCTCTGTACATTGCTGTTTTGGCACCAAGCCATCAAGTACATGAGCCTTTGGGGAACATCCCAGATCCAAACCATAATACTATTACTGTTAAAATACAGATTTTCAGTAGTAAATTGAAGATAGTATTAATCTGAAGGCAGGGGACTCACTATTTGCTGTTATTCCTTAGTGCCAATGCCTAGCGTAGTCTTTGAATATCTAGCATTTAATTGATGTTTTGAAAGTGTCCATTGCATGCAGTTATTGGATGGATGGAAAGATGGAATGAAGGGAGGGAGAGAAGGAGGACAAATATTAGTTCCTTCATTTGTTCTGCCAATAAAATATTAACACATTATTTTGCTTCCCTTATGTAATTTGAAACCTCTAATAAATTCAGAAGTTCTTAAACTTGCAGTGAAATAGGATCATTATTCTGGTCCCTCCCAATTAAATGTTGTCTATATCAGGCTATTCTCGACATTGGTTTATATTGACGGTCTAGGTTATTTAAAACTACTAAAAAAGAGTAATAATATAGACTTCACTGTTTACATTTGCATCTGTTTTGACATGATTTTCAAAGCAATGTCCTTTCAAAACAGAGTTTTGTATTATATAGAGTATAAACCCTGAAGTTAGACCTCTGTATTTCAGATCCTTCTCCAACAAGGAATCACTGTGTCCTTTAAGTGATTTAACTTTTACAAGTATCAGTTTTTTCATATGTCAAACAAGGATTAATAACTGTACCTTTATATAAAGTTGTCATCAAAATTAAATGCAAAGGAGTAAAGTTCTTAGTTTGGGTCCTGTTTGCAGAAGCCTTGAGTAATTCATTGTCATCTTAATAGAAGTATTAGTAACAGCTGCTAATATTATATTTCTGCCCTTCTATAATTTTATTTTGAGAGCAAAGACTTCTTTTTGTTTATTTCCACATCCTGTCTTAGCATAGGGCTTGTCACGAAGTTGGTACTCAACAAATAATTATTGAATTGCATGAAGTAGATAATTTTTAAAAATCAGGAAGTTGTTTTCCAGAATACTAAATTTAAGCTCACAGAAAGTAGCCAAACAGATTTTGAACAGGGTGCTTTAAGTCAGTCCCATTGCTTATACCATTTTAGGCAACTTAATGAAAGATTCCAATGGGGCCCTAGGATTCAGACTCACATCTTTTGAGCACTGAGCTTTTAGAACCCTTTTTACAGAATTCTCTTTTCTCTCATGCAAAATAATTAGAATTCTTTGTTGGCCAGCTACTAATATATATTGTCATTTTAGCATTTGAGAAAATAACTTATTGAGTTGTAAGATGTGTTGATTTATCTAAGTTTATTTACTTGTTCTCAAAGAGAACTGTACAAGAAAACATACTATTCTGTCCTCATTCTGTCTTTATTTAATTTTTGAGAAAAAAAGGACAAGTAACTGTAAATATGGAAAAGTGAACAAATAAGAAGAGTCTAAACAGATATAGATAGGGTAGATAAGTGAGTGCTGTTCAAATGAAAACAGATGTATGAAATTATAAGCTGTCAGATCAGCAACAGAAATGAAGATGATAAAGTGGTTCCTTACATAGGTTCTAATTATTCATTTAGCCCAGTTCTGTCTCTTCTCCCCATAGCACTCATGGGACAGGAGAGGAAGAGGAAGCTATAGCAAGAAGTGGCTTTTCCAACAGCAGCAGAAAAAAGGAAACTAAGAATCAAGTATATTTCTGATTAGAAATAATTATTTTTTATTTGCATTTTTTCTATTGAATCAGTTATTTCCCTATGGAATATTTTTCAAGTGACAAGTTCATGAAAAAGATTCAGATACAACTACAGGAAGTAATTGTAAAGTTGTTCACAGTCAATGCTATATGGCGGCAGTCGATATGCCTCACAAACAAGTATAGCTAATGGGCCCAACTATGACAGCAGTGGCAGATAGATTACAAAGAAGCAAAGTAGTTTACATAGACCTGCCTGAAAAGATGTGCTTAATAATTGCACCTATAATTAGGTTGATTTGAAAAAAAATTAAATGACAGTCTGCAGAACACAATTAGACTCATCTATGAAGATTTTGTCACTTTTTTCTCCAATGAAATGCTCATAGATATTCTCTATAAATTTCATTCTACCTTCAGAAAAACAAAGAATTGGGAATTTACTTTTTTAATTTTAAATTTTATAATATTTACATAAGAGAGTAACTATAACTTATAAATTATCAAACATAATTATCAAGGCAAATATTGTTTTATGAGAATTTTTAACTGGTTCTTCCCCATTCATAAGGTTCTTGTTACTAATTTCTAAGCAGAAAAGCAAAATTCATTCAAGCACAGTCCTGTAAATGGTAGTAAGTATGCAAGTTTCTAAGAATTTATATTGCAAACATACACACATAACTGTATCTAAAGCTTTTTTCTCCCAGCACCCCCTGAGGATAAGCACTAGTGTATTAGATTGCTGCTAACAATGCAGTGTGTTGCTTCAAAGGCCATTTGATAAGGATATCTTCTCCTTCCTTTTATCAAATCAGTTGAATTATTGGTTTATTTTCTTTGGCTCTAAGTTGTTATGTTTTATATTTTCAGTAATATAATATAAAATATCTCAACCAATATTGTATTTGAATTCTTCTTTTTCTTTTCTTTTTTTTTTTTTTTTTTAGTGATCTCTAGTAACTACCAGACCTGTCTTGGCCTTCTGATGCATTATCCACTCATCGGGGATGTGCACTCACTGATTCTTAAGGCTCTGTTTCTTAGAGACCCAAAGGTAAGTTTTCACAGTAGGATATGCACAATTTTAAGTTGGGTGAAAAATAGGCCTCTCTGAACATGTTTGATCAAAAATTTCCCATAACAGATGATTTGCCTAGCAATCAAATTTGTCAAACAGTCATAGGCCAAAACTCACATACCTCAATAGCCAGTAATTCAGTGACAATGCAATTTAGAATCAGCGCACACATCTCTTGTATCTCCTAAAATTGTTTGGTCCTCCTGCCTCCTCATCACTCAAGGAAATAGTTGAGCAACTACCTCTCCTTGCAGCCACACTTCATTATCCTTGGTGCCCCTCATAGGGGATGACTTTTATTCAAATAGTATCTCTGGGGCCATATAAAAGTCAGAGAAGTAGATCTGTTAAAAGGACAAGGTCTGTAAGAATTAATGATAAAATGAATCACTGAATTATTTCATGTTGTGAGTATGTATTTTTTACTCTGTGGACTAAGAGTAATCCAATAAAGATTTAAATAGACTTTAACACTAATTTCTCCATTTGAGCGTAAAGCAGTTCATCAAAATTTTCTTCACACTGCAGAGAAAAAGTGTGCTCTTTTACAACTAATGTTATATTTCTTGAAAATAAGAACATTAAATGATCTAAAAAAATCTGTGAATCCTTACTACTTTGGAGCCAAACAAAAATATTGGATGCAGTATAAGAGAGAAAGCTTCAAATCCGATTCTGAGAATGCCAGGTGCTGGATGGTAGTCCCAGCCTTTGGCTTTTTGGCAGCCCTCCCACCACTCATGTTGGCAATTGTTGAACTGTCTGTGAGTCAGTCAGTCTGTCTGTGGATTCCACTGCCAAAGCTCTGTCTGGTCCTTCAAATTTAATATAAATTTTGATTCTAAAGGATTTCTGCCCTTTCCTTGTGCATATTTCCTCAGTGTATTCTTTGACGGACTTAATTTTTTTTTTCTTTATGCTAGTACGTTTTCTTTAGAAATATGAATTTTTATATCATTTCTATTACACCAAGAATTTCACTAAGCATCAGAAATCTATCATTTCTCTGAAACATAAGGAAGCATATTTTTTTCTGGTAAAACTTAAGAGTATGACTATGAAAATATAAAGTTCTTTGCTTATGTTTTTATGTACATATGTATGTGTAAGTTGTGAGAGTATGTACTTTTTGTTTACAAAAAAAAACAACAAGATAATGAAATAGCTTTAAAAAAGAGGTTGCTGGTCAGTTCAGTATGAATTTTGATCTACAAACTTAAGTCCAATGCTTTCCGTTCAGAATTAGAAATTCTTAGAGTGGAAGGAAAAAAAAAAAGCTAAAAGCAGTTTTAATTCCCTGCTTAACGTGATTTGTTTGATTTAACTAAAGGAAGAAATGAATATGTTGTCAAAAACCTATGGGTCTTGGCAATTTTTTTCCTAGCTAAATATGATTGATCTTCTTAGGAATCTCTCATATAATTTCAGAATCTTTATGCCCAGTCCATCACTGTTGACTAATAGAATCTAAGTGCCCTTTCATATTAGTGTGATTTTTATGGAGTAATTTTATCTCAATAAATAGTGCCCATATTATAATAGTTTAATGAATAAAATTCTACAGACATTAAAACTATAGGTTCAATAGAGTTTGAGAGAAAAAATAATAGCATTATTATCTTAAAAAAAGGAATTTCCCCCAAAGTAAAAACGTAGTCAAAATATTGGTGCAAAATATGAAGCCCTAAACTGATATTTCTGAGACATAAGAAATTGGACAGGGTGAGGGAGTCATAATAACAAGACTCATGAGGACAAGTTCATGGAATGATGATATCTACAGGAAAAGTAAAAAAGTTGTATATCTTCAAAGGATTTCTAGCCCATCAAAGTGGTAGTTATAGTCAAATGGTAGTGTAGTAAGTATAGACTCTTTGAAATTAGGAAATTTCAAATGAGAACTCCTGTCCTTGACACAGGTGTTAATGTAAGTCTGTAGTACTGTAGTGTTCTGCAAGGCACCTGAGTTAAGAATTGGGGATCTAGGTCAATCCTTGACTCAGCTTCTGACCATTCTCATTATTTTGGAAAACTCATGCTTGCTGAGCCATTATCATCTTTTTTTGTAATATTTGGAGGTTGAGTGAAGTTGTCTAGGATAACCCACTCTTCCAGAGCTTCTTTCTCTATAAAGAACTGACTTCAAATGAGCTAATACAATCCAATCCAGTGCTACAAAAGTGCAAGTTTAAAAAAAAAAGAAAAAGTTTGCCTATACTATAGAAATCTACAAGTACAATTTTCATTGTAATTGTGGTTAATGATAGTCATAAAAGAGGCCATTTATGCTAAGGAGAATAAAAGAGAAAGTTAATACTAAGACCCCTACCCATATCTTCTAAAAAATCCTGATCCTGTTCTTACTCTTTGCCTCCTGAGGTTTCTATCATGCATCTTACCTTTTCCATAAAATCATTTCCAGGTTCCTTTAGGATATTTCCTTCCCTTCAAGTTTGCACAGCACCTGTGTTTTATCTCTGTTCATATTTGTTCTACCAATCATTTCTCCTTAACACACCTGCTCGGTTTTTAGCACTTAGCTTTGCATATCCTACATATGCTGGGTATTAAGAAAATAACAATAGAATTGATTTCTGCTTCAGATACTGTGCTCCTTTCTAGTATACCACACTGACTTGAATCTAGGTAGACCTCACTCACCCCTGGCATATTTCTGGAACCCACATCCATAGTCCACAAAAGCCATAGCTTCCATTTTTATCAAGATGGTGAATTAGCCCTACAATTTTAACTTAAAAGAGTATCAATAGTTCCTTAATTTCCTTTGTGTTAGAATTATCTGGAAATCTGTTATCACCTTCAGATATTGTGGGACAAAGAAGATATAGCAATGATATACCTCACTTAATTAATATACCTCACTTGGGTTATCACAATTTCAGAAGTATAAAGAGCCTAGACAGTCTAATTTTGTCTTCTCCTTTCATAGTTAAACTGATAATCAGAGTGAAGCTCAGGAGACTTATTAAGTCACAGAGTCAGCAATTGAACTCAGATCCTAGGCCATCTTTCTACACAAGAACTATAGTAGCTTTGTTGTTTTACAACTAGTGGTATCTTGCTTATCTATTTCTCATATAAAGTATTTGTGATAAACATTTATTTGTAGCTATAGTAAGTGAAACTTTTTGTATATAAAGTGGTCCAAGAACTATTTGAAATATGTACTTTATGACAACACTGGATGTCAAATGTCTATTTGTACCATTCTCTACCCTGCACAACATAAATACAGATTCTATACTTAGTTCTTCAGGCCACAATTCTAATTTTCACTTTCTTTTCTTTATCATATTAGAAGTACTGAGCAGATTTCCAGAAACAATCGACTAAATGAAGTTAGAGGGATAGAAGGAGGACAGTCTGAAAAAATATGAAGTGATTAAAAAACATTGTTCTAGCTAGTTGTTCAAATTCAAAAAAAAAAATTTTAAAGCCCAATTAGAAACAAAAGTCATAGAAAATGTGAACATATTGTGTTCCTTAAATAACCAGATGTTCTCTCCTTCCTGAAGGCAGTAAGGGCTAGGAATAAAGGTTTAAAACTATTGTTTTAAGTTAACTGTGAATTTTGCAAATCTGTTTTTACCCTTTAGCAAATAAAATTCTAATACAGAAACAGAAGCAAAGTAATTTTCATTTTTTGGAGCTCTCTTTATTTGTATTGTGTGTTGAAGTGTTAACCTTACTACAAAGACTTATTACAAGTGAAATACAGTACATGGATTACCATTTTAGATTATGCAGTAAGAATTTGACAACCACCATTTGTTTTGAAGATTAGAATATTTAGAAAAAAAATATTTCTGCTAAGTTTTCAAGCATCCATTCTAGCAGTGACTGTTGCTGTTTATAGAAGAAAATTACTAGAAATGACAATTTCATAGTCATTCCTATACATAGAAACACATTATAGAAACATAATGTGCAATGTTCCCATACTTGACCAGTTTCTAATCTTGCTTGTGTTTGGAGTTGTATTAAATTTTTCTTTTTTAAGCTATAAAATGTCTGAAGTTTAAGTTTCAGATTTTATACGTAACTGAATTTTTACTCGTGTCATCCCCAAAATAACCCTGCTAATACATGCAACATTTTTGTCATTGTCTAATAACTTTGGTAAAATATCATATCAGAATTGAAAAGTAGCAAGTATTCAAACCTACTACCAGTGAGGTGACATTGTTAAGAGAATGTTTCTTTCCAGCAAGGCTATTTTGTATAATCTTTTCTGATCTGAGCAGTAAATGACAAACTATCCAGACTGACTCTTTGAGGAGAATACACTGAATTCACTTACTTACTTTCCCTAACATTTCTATTTCTAGTATTTTTCCAATCAACTTTTCATCATGATTTCAGGTTATAGATAGATTCCTTTGTTATTCCTGTTTATTCATCTTTATTTTTCTCCCAGAATGGAGTATATTTTTTTAAATGACATTCTTGGAGAATCATTTATTTTCATGTTTGTTATTGACATGAGGAAAGCTGATTTTTCTTTGTTTTTGAGCTGTATGGATGTCATTCTTTTGTGTCATAGAAAAACCACAAAGTGACTGTTTATTATTTTTGATATTTAGTTATTAGTGACTAATCAGGTATGTTTCCACATCCAACCAGAAATAGACTTATTGACAATAGATTAGCACTTTTTAAAAATCTTAAATTTTATTTCTTAAAAAAAATGGTGGCTATATAATAATGATCTTCAAGGAGTAATATAACAGTATTTATTAAGACAGTATTTGAGATTTATTTATTGTCTTCAAACATTTTTTAATCTAGAATCATGTGTTTCTTAAAACATACTTATAGTTTCTTAGGGTCATTCAACAATTTTAAATTAGTTTTATGGCATTTAGAATTCATTAATTTATTTAACCAGTTCTTACTGTGTGTCTTCTGTGTACCGGGTACTGTTTTAGATGATGTTGATATACAGGTGAACGAAA